ATCATCATCACCATCAACATCATCACAATCAATATCGCCACGAGCTGAACTACATGATGCATGGGCCCCACTCCTCATTCTCAGATTGTCCAGCATCATCCACTGGCTCTGACTGAAGTGCAAACTTCGTGGGATCTTTCGTGGCCTCACCATCACCATTCGGAGATGGTCCAGCATCATCCATTGGCTCTGGCTGAACTGCTCAGGGATTTTAGGGTTTAGGGCCTAGGTTTAGGGGTGTTAAGGTTGTTGGGTTTAGGGTCATTAGGGTTTTAGGGCATTTTGGGGTTTTGGGGTTTTAGGGTTCCAGGTATAGTGGTGTGGGCCCACCATCACCATTCATTGCCATTGGCTCTACACTATCCTTCGCAGTCTCCAGCTCCATAGCCGGAGGCTCATCAGGTGGAGCCACCTATGAAGCACCAGAAACCAATGCACAAGTCAGAATGAACCTCGCCAAGAACTCAATTATGCAGTTGAAAGGCCTCGGCACTGTCTTCACAGGGCACTTCCTCGTCCCCCCAAGGCAGCTGGCTGTCCTGATCACATGGGGATGGTGTGGCTCACACCTTTGTTAGCTGGTTTAGGGCTTAGGGGTTTGTTTTGCCTGAAAAAGTATAAATGGTTTGTCTTGCGAGGCAGCTGGCTGTCCTGATCACATGGGGATTGTATGGCTCACACCTTTGTTAGCTAGTTTAGGGCTTAGGGGTTTTGCTTGAAAAAAGCATAAATGGTTTGTCTTGCGAGTTTGATCAGAATGAGCAGTGGCTTGAATTTGCAAGCAGCAGGTCCATTTTCGGATGCGTAACTTCGGTATCATGAGACAACAACATGACGAGTCCTCGCCAGTGTCCACCCCATGCACTGTCGGCTGCGATCTCTCCTGACAGCCCGGAAGCTCTCGAAACCGTAAATGCATTGCTAGAATTTTGAGAACTTGACACAGTCATGAGGCTTGATCCTCAACTGGCACGGTCTCGCCGATCTCGCTGTCATTGCCATCTGCAACTGCAGTCTCCGGATTCGGGAGGGCCTCGGAGCACTAATTAAAGTGCGCGCGACAGACAGACAGACAGACAGAGAGAGAGAGAGAGAGAGAGAGAGAGAGAGATATCCCGGGGGAAGAAGAAGAGAGAGAGCCAGCGAG